TGAAGACGAGTTTTATCACGGCTGAAGAAATAGCTAAATCAGGGAGACCATTATGCGAGGGTGGTTTTCTAAAGCGGTGCCTGTTAAAAGTCAGTGAAGTAGTGTGTCCAGAGACAGGGTCTGCTTTTGCAAACATCAGTCTCACTAGAAATGTGATGGCTACTCGAGTGGACGAGAATGCTGACAATCTACAAAAGCAGCTTTCAGAGAAAGCGATCGAATTTATTGCATATTAACTTGCCATTTATTGCCATTCAGGATTTTATGCCGAGATTAAACTCTCTTGCATCAAAGAAAAGAGCTCAGGTTTCTGGCTTGGCAAAGCGACAGTAGGCTAACAGTTTGTGATGTAGACCTATCCTTATTTGTGTTTGTTTTTATTTATTTCAATTCATGTATTTATTTCAAATCATTTTGTGCAATATAGTTACATTGCCAAAAATTACCTAAATGTTTAATCTTGAATACATTTTCTTTTATGAAATGCTCAACCGTATTATTAAACAGAGGAATACTGAAGCAATATTTTGTTTGTATAGGCTACAATCACTAGCATATGTGGAAAAATATATAATAAAATTCTAATCAGTATTTATCTCTGCATGTGTGGCCTGCGACATGATTAAATGTTTTTAGTTTGGCCCTCCTTAAAAATGAGTTTGACACCCCTGATTTAGATGGCCCTTGATCAGGGCAAGAAAGACGCTTTGACTGGACCAGCAATCGAGGGGGGAGGCTCTAGGAAAGACAGTGTGCAATTGAACAGTGCATCATTACATCTGCATCTGTGGACAGCCATTTTATGAACAACTATAAACAGTTATCCACTTCCCTCAGTTAGCAACTTTGGGGAAAGTGAATTACTCGAAATGATTCCTGATGTTACTATACTAACTATTGATTTAAATACATAATTGATGTATTATCAGAACTGTTTATATATGTAATGAACTTTTTTGTTTTATTATACGAATAAGAAAATTACAGTGCATGGCTGCCATCAAGGGAAAAAAATCATGTGTTATGTCGTAATTATGAGATAGTACATAATCATGTACTTTATGTGACAATCATGCAGTCGCACAATTGTCATGCTATACCTAAACTATCATTAGCTTACTTTAAGTTTTAAGCAGTGGAATCAATTACGTATTATAGCTTCTTGTATAAGGATGTGTGATTGTCATCATGATTATAATGATTGTGTTCACATTAGGTACGAATTGTAACACATTGTATCTCAGTACCTGTCTGAATTACTCTCGTCGTACTTCCCATCTTTCAACCTTTGTTCATCTAAGTCTGGTCTCCTGTCTACTCCCAAACCCATCTACATACTATGGATTACAGAGCCTTCTCTTGCTATGAGAGTTACCTTCCCTGAGCACCTTCATTACTCAAAACCTTCTTTGTTAGATGGGATTTAATTTAACTGGTTCTGTGTCTGCCCCTTTGCTTTCCTACTGTATTCTAAACCCTTATTTTAATTGCATAATTCTGCTATCTCCTCTCATTGTGTGCTTTTTTTCTTACCGTACACTGTACACTTTGAGAAGCCACTTTGCTATATTATTATTTTAGGTCACCATCCACGACACCTATTTTACCATTCATTTCCATTCATTTGCAGTCTTTTATAAAGTAGGGTTCAAAATGAAATACTACCAATTGCTTGGTGCTCATAATAATCCGCTAGTTTCTTCATTTCATCTGACTCGTCTCCTTCCTCTTCTTCTGCTAGTATCTTTAGGATCTTACTAGCTGCGAGGGCTGCAGCTATGTTGTCTCTGCACTGAAAGCATACAGCCAATGGTTAGTGTGGGAAGGAAACATTTTCAACACAAACTGTCTTGAAGAGGCAGATTCGTGTAAAAACATAAGAAAAGTTTCTAATGGAAGGAAGACATTCAGCCCATCTATTTTTTCTATTAATTCAAGGATCTCATTCTTGAACGAAATCAGATCATAAGAAAAGTTACAAATGAGAGGTGGCCATTTCACCCAAGGATCTCAACTAGCCACTTCTTGAATGAAGCAAAGTATTGGCTTCAACCACATAGCTACATAGCTTATTACATACTCCTACAACCCTTTTAGTAAATAGGTGCCTCCTATTCTTGATCTTAAAAGCACATCCACACAGTTTCCACTTGTGCCCTTTGGTTCCTGTTCCACTTTTAACAGACTTACACTTATTTTTTTGTTCACTGCTAATTCTTTGAAAAAGTCCTCTGGGTTGACTTTATCAATGCCTTTGAAAATTTTAAACGTTTGTATCAGGTTCACTCTTAGTATTCACTGTTCAAGATTTAAGAAGTTCAGTTGTTCTCAAACTGTGGTACGCATACCACTGTTAGTACGCAGAGTGCCCCCAGGTGGTATGCCAGATGACCCTGGAAATTTGTTCTGTGCGCTGAAAAATTGGGATGGGTTTTCATATTTTCTAATTTAATAAAATACTTGAGTGGACACAAGAGCTACTTTGTATATACCATTGAATAGGGATGCTTGCTACAAACCTAAGTGACCAATTGTATTAAAAGAGGTTATCTCTAGCAACTAGGGAGGTAAAAGAATTTGCATGATTTTGTAAGCACAGGAAAGCATGATAGATAACAGAAAAGTACTTAAGGGCTGTTCTAGGTTAATTTGAGAAAAATACACCTACCATCTCTGTGTTTTTCTCCCATGCACATGAAATAAAAACTTATTTTAACTTCTGAGATGGACTCCTGACTGTCTTTTAAGGGGAATTGGAGAAAAATGCAAGCTTGCAGATTGCTAAAGCAGGTAATCCCCACACTATTAGTGAAGAACTTTGTTTACTGTTGGCAAAAGAAATGACGTATTATGTGTGGAGTAAAAGCAGCTAAACAGCTCGACCAGCTGCCCCTTTCAAATGACACAGTGACTCGTAGAATTTTTTATATGGCAGATGATGTCAAAAGAACACTGATAGAGCGCGTAAAGATTAGCAGATGCTTTTCACTGCAATTAGATGAGTCTAGATGTTGTTGATTTGGCCAATTTGCTCATTTGCGTTAGATATAAGATTGAGGGCATGTCCCATGAGGACTTTCTGTTCTGTAAGCCGCTACCAATAGGAACTACAGGAGAGCACATATTTCAGCTTTTGAATGAATTTATCAAAGAGAATGGCATTGACTGCAAAAAATGTGTCTGAGTTTGTAAAGATGGTGCTAAAACTATGACAATCCAACACAGCAGTGTAGTTGCACGAATTAGAGAGGTTGCTCCAGATATGAAGTGGACACACTGCAGCATCCACCATGAGATCTTGGCAGTCAAGAAAATGCCTGAGGATTTAAAATCTGTGTTAGACTCTGCTGTCAAAGTTGTGAATTGTATCAATGAATTTACTTCTGTTCACTGTGCTTTGTAATATGCCTGGTAAAATTAGCCTACCTGGCTGATATATTCTCACATTTGAATGAGCTGAATATAGGACTGCAGGGGCTCTCTTCAACAATTGTTGACATCCAACAAGATCACCGCTATGAAGAAAAAGGTGCAGCTTTGTGATCTCTCTGCTTTCCCAACTTTGGAGAACTATCTACACACATATGGTGTGGCACTTGAAGCTGCTCTTTGTGATGTGATTACAGTGCACCTCTTGTCATTGAAAGAACAGTTCTCAGAGTATTTTTTCAGTTGAGAATGGATCAGGAACCTCTTTACTGTTGATGTTGTAGGAATACCCAAGGTTCTGACCAGTGCTGAACAAGAGAAGTTGCTCGAGTTCTCATCTGATGTGACTTTGATGTCAGAATTGAAATGCCAATCACTGTTGGATTTCTGGATCCAAAGACAGAGTGTATACACAGCCCTCTCATTAAAGGCTCTGCGATTTTTTATGCCTTTTGCTACTACCGGCCTTTGTGAGAAAGGCTTCTCTGCTCTCACTGCAATCAAGACAATTTACCGCAACAAAATGGATGCTGAGCCAGATCTGTGTTTGAAGCTCACTGCCCTCATCCCTGACATTGCAAGGCTTTGCTGGATTAAACAGGCTAACCCCTCTCACTGAGATAGTGATTGCTCAGTGCTATTTTTATTATATGTGTGTGGCCACGCGCTCATCTTGGTCATTGAGACTTTCTGTGGTTCCTATGAGAAGATGACTTGTAGGTGGTACTTGAATGCTTTGGCTTGATTAGGGGTGGAACTTTGTCCAAAAAGTTAAGAACTACTGGTGTAGGACATTCCTTGCAGTTACATAATATATCTGGGTGGTAGTCTCTGGACTGATTTCAATCTTCTTAATAACATGTGTGATTGAGTTGTTTTTTTCTTTGCTGTGTCTATCACGGATGTATCTTTCAATATCTCGAGGAGGAGATAGGACATCTTATATTGCTGCTCCTCTGAATGGGAGCAGCTGTTGGCAATGATATTGTTACCATTTTTCCATACAGCTGTCAAAGAGGTGATAGCGAAGTCATACCTGCACTGTGTCACAGATCTTAAACAAAACTGTGCACATTGTAAATGAGCCCTGACTAGTGCATTATACAATTTTAACATGAAATCCCTTGATCTGAATTCTACACTTATAACTATACAGCTTAACATTTTTTTTTGTCTTCTTTATTGCTTCTCCACACTGTTCGGAATGTGTCAACATAAACACCCAAGTCATTATATCTATAGTAGATAACTTCGTCTAGCTCGGTGTTTTCCAATTTGTATATCTAATTTATGCTTTTAAAGCCTGCATGTAAATCTTTTCACTTGTGTAGGTTAAATGTCACCTGCTGGACGTCTACAATCTTGAATTTTATCTACATTTGAATTCATCAGCTTGAAAAATACAGTGCTGTGTAGCTTGTTAAATACATCCACAACCTTCTGTGTAAAGGAGTACTGTACCTCCTGTTCTCATTTTTAAATGCACTTCCATAGATCTGAAGTTCTGTAATTGTGTTATGTGGTGTTTCCCAGTTCTAGACCAGGATACCAACTTACATTTCTGCTTTGATTTTCCACATTAGCAACATAAATGTCTAATAATAGTGCCAAATAAACATTTTTTGAAGATGATTCAGGACCCAGTTTTCAATTTGAAACCTTTTAATACAGCAGTCACTGCAAAAAGAACCACCTGATTAGGGAAAATGTCATGATGAAAAACACCTTTGTGTGAAAGTAAAATTTACCCCCTTTCACAACTGCTCAGAAGACCAGTAATTTCACATGAAGGAACATGTTTTTGTTTGGTTTTTGTCATGCAAGAATGCCTGCAATGGAAACACTTTTCTACAGTTCTCCAAATTGAAATCTAGATTTTTCAAAAGGATGCTTGTGCATTTCTTTTACGTGTCTGCAATGTTTTTCAAACAAATTAAGAGCAATGTAAGGTATTAAGTAATTCCTCTGTCTCTCAAATCCAGTCATACTTATTATATATTAATATTTTAAATTAAGTTTATTTAAGGTATGTTACCTTAGATCATTAATACATTTAGATCATTCTTATACCGTTATGGCTATTGAAATGTCTTAGGATCTAGAAACAATGGATAGGGAACTGAGGTCTGAACTGAGTGGTCAGTGACCAGACAGACAATAGATCAAAAGAAATCTTCTGGTTTACCCTACTTGACTTCCTTAACAGTCATCATGAGTGAGAAACCCAGGATAAAAGACAGTCACAGTAGAAGAAAGTAGAGACACATGAAGTACAGGTCGAGAGAAAAAGAGACAGAAAGAAGAAACGTGCCAGGCGAGAGGACCTTGTTTAAGAGAGTTTGCCATATGTTATTTTAGGAAACTCTGATTTCCTTATAAGGAATTCCCAGGTTAAAGACTTCTCTCCCGGTTAGTGGTGCTTTTTAGAATATGGAGATAGGGTTCCATTCACTTTGGAGCATCCTGATTTACAGGAAGAAAGCTTTAGATTTGGGTTGTATTCTGTTTAATTTATGATGCAGGATTTTCTCTTGTTAGTCTGTTATGTATCATGTAGGATTTTTGAGCACTGGATTAGTGTTTTTCTGGTTGGTCAGAATGTAGACTTCTGAGATGTTGTATGTGTAACATGTATCATTTAATTTTGTCATTGGGAGACAGGGAGACAGCCTCTTCCCTTCGTGTGTGTGTGTTAGTGAAGGTGCAGCACTGTAACCCCTGTACCTGTGTGTGTACCTTTCCCCGATTTGAGTTAATAAATGCCTTGTTCGGCCCCATTTCCTAAGTCCCATGCCTGCTCCATTCCGTACCGAAACCCATGGTCGTTAAAATATTTTCTAATTTCCTTAACCTCCAAATCTGTAACAAAACAAAAGTGCTTTCAAAAGGTCAAAAGCCACTTTATGTTATTTATGTTAGATACACAATTAAGCTTTTTTTTTGGGGGGGGGAAGGGTTGGGTGAGTTCAGATATTCCCCAGGACATCTTTTTTTAAAAGACAATGAATCTTCATTTTAACCAAACAAGATTCCTTTCCGATCTTCCTCCCGACTTTTTTACCTGTTCCCATGCAATTTCAGCCAGCTCTTTCCTGTTCTGCAAAATAGCCCAAAGGAAGAGGTCTCTAGCTGGATCCTCTAGCGTTTTCAATGTTTTCCCCTCTGCTGTGGAGGCGATGTCCTGCAGCTCAATTTGAGATTTGGAATCAAACTGTAATTAGAAATAACAGGAGTTATTCTATTCATGTCCAAATAATTAAATGCATGTAAACTGCTACATATTCACTGTTTTTAAAAACAGAGACACGATCTCACATTACAGTACCTACATAAGTAACTGTACAAGTTATTTATGCAGGGAACCTACTGTGTAGCTATAATGGATTCAGTTCAGAAAGTAAACATTTCCTACACTTATGGCACCTTTAATGTCAAGTAATTTTCAAACAAAGTTAGTTTGATATTGCTTCAGAAATAAGTTGCTGAGGTTATTATAGAATGAATGAAGGTGAACAGGAAAAAAAGCTGCAGGTCACTAACACCCTTTGTCAATGAAATTTGTTACCAATGGACTACTGTACAGACAGTGGAGAAAATAATGGAAACACCTAACAAAAAGGACTTGTATTTTGAAGTAACACTAGCAATTCAAAGGATTCATGTTTCATATTGATTTTAATACTTATTACCAATATTTTCCTGCTATAAATGACACCTTAATATGGCAGTCTTCTAAATAAATTTGCAAGTGCCTAAAGCAACATGAGAGATCTAACAGATTATGAAAGAGCTCAAATAGTTGGTGCTTGAATTGCAGGTGTATCAGTGACAGAAACAGTAAAAGTATTTAATATATCAAGGGGTACAGTGTTAAAATAATTGATGACATAAAAACAAAGGAACAGTGGTTGTAAATCAAAGCTCACCGACCACATAACATTTTGAAACTGTAAAGCGGGTCACTTTAGGCTGCTGTTACAGATAGCCTATGCCCCATATAAGTTTAAAATCCAACATAGGCTTATTAGTTCAAAATTAACAATAACCTGAGAGAAAAAAATAAATATTTTAAATATAAAAAAATAAAAATTGAGTAAAAACTTGGCGTTCAACTTATAAGTCTTCACCGATTACCTCGACCCGATGAGTAACTATTCTGTGTGATAAACTTATTTTCTCAAATTTGTTCTTGCTCTGGACAAAGAATATCTACGGTTTCTATCATACGCTCCTTCAAAAGCTCCCCTTCAGAGAGCGGCTTGCTTTGTTTAGCAATTTTATATGCAGGCAGGTAGCTTGCCTTTGTGCTGGCCTCTTGGATAGTAGAAGGGTGAAAAAATACATTTTGCTGAGCCTGTAAACTAGCGGCTAGTTTGGAAGCTCTATTAGCCCACTCTTCACCTGACAGATTGCTAGCATAGTTAGCATGTTTGGTAGAAAAATGCCAACTGAGATTGTATGCTTTGAACACTGTGACACTTTCCTTACAAATTAAACATGTAGCCTTTGTTCCAACCTCTGTGAAAAACTATTTTGCAGTCCATTCTTTGTTGAACACTCGGCATTCACTGTCAACTTTCTACTTTTTCACTTCGCTCATGTTGGCAGAGGTTCCCTCACAGTATGATGGACCAACTCTAACTGGTGAATCAAATTGGTAAAGCAGGGGTTCCCAAACCTTTTGGGTCTGTGCTTCCCTTGACCTGTCAAATTTTCCACATGCCTCCCCTGTCTCAAAAATAATTTCTATGGCAGTGCGATATTTTACAAAAGATGATATTTTACAGAAGCTAAATTTGAAAAGGAAATGATGGGTCAAAATAAAAACAAAGTTGATTTAATTTTTATTATTTTGAATCATTTTCAAAACCAAAGAGGGTGATTAAAATAGTAAAAATACTTGACAACAAAATTTATTGAAATTATTTGAATGTGAAAACAATTTGAAAAAATAACAAAAAAGTCAACATCTTTGTAAAATGCAAATAAAATGACTTAGAAAAAGTAAAAATTTAACATCAATGTTTTTTTTAAAAAAGGGGGAGAAATGTTTTATTCCTATTAATGGGTAGGTGGGCTTGTTTAATAAATTATGTTAACATAATTCACCAAAAATACTGGGTAGTATTTTTTAAATGGTAATTTGCATCTCCTTCTCAACATTGACTCTTGATCTGAACTTGGATTTGATAACCGCAAGTGCTGCAAACCCAGCTTCACAAAGGCAGGAAATTGCAAAGGGAAGCAGAATTCACAGAGCTTTGTTGCTTATTTCAACATCTTCTGAAAAATACTTCTCAAAGTGAATGTGGAGTTGTGATAAATGCTCCACAAACACAAACTTTAATTCCTCATTCAACTGAACTTAGTTTTCTTCCACAAACTGCTGCAGCAGAGGGAAGCAGTAACTTTTATTTTCTTCATCTATCTTTTTCTTCCAGAGGAGTAGTTTCCTTTAGAAGGCCGAAACTCTGTCTGACAGTTGTAAGATGTGGGTCTCACTACCCTGCAGGCACATGTTCAGCGAGTTCAGTTTTTCAAAAATGTCACAAAGGTATGCCAACTTTAAAACAAAGTCACTGTCAAGTAAGTTTTCAGCACTGGGGTGATTTTCTTCTACTAGATATGAATAAAGTTCCCTCACGTTTTATTTGTGAGAGGAAGGACTGAAGGTTCAGACACCAAAGAGTTCGGTTATCACAAAGACGATCCTAACGCTTTGATTAATGTTTATAGAACTTCATTTAGAGCAGGACTTAGGTGCTGGGATGCTAGTGCTTCCCTGTGGATGATGCGGTGTGTCCACACAGCGTCAGGAGCTTTGTTACATATGAGCGCTTGTAGTCCATAACAACCTGACATCGAGTGACCACCAATCCATGTACACACCAAAAAAGTTGGTCCAGTCAATATTGTTTGACAGTATCGATGATCTCAAACAAATCCATAGGTTTGGTACCAGATTTAAGATCTTTGCAGAACAGAAGATCTTCAAAAAATATGTTGTCTTCGGTTATACACCGCACATAATGGGCATCAAATGGGTGTCATTGTTGTTGTCAATTACTTCATCCAATTGAACACTGAAATCCTTACCTTTCAGTTTTTCAGTCATCTGCTCATTTATTTCCTCAGCCATATCATGTATTCGATGACTATTGTATTATCTGCCAAAGGCATGTTTAAGAGTTGTTTAGCAGCAGACTCCCTCACCAAAATAGGTACCATATCAATAGCAGCCGGTAAAACAAGTTCTTCTGCAATAGTATGAGTCTTTTTGCCTTGTGCTACTCGGTATGCAACTTTGTATGATGAAAGAAGAGCTTTGCTGGGGATCGTAGTGTTTAGAAAAAGCAGCTTTCCGTTCATTCATTTCTTTTAGCTTCCACGAAAAATACTCATGAGGCATATCACTCCCTGGTTCTTCAATTTTGATTGAAAGCATTTACAGACAGGGTTACTGTATTGGCTTTACATAATTGATAGGGCGTACCAAGAAGCATGACTTCAGTCTTGTCGCGGTTTAAGGAAATTATGAGCCATCCATGTTTTTACATCAGAGATGCAATTAAACGGTGTAATGTCAATGTCAGATTTGGTATCAATGTAGATCTGAGTATCATCAGAGTAGAAATAATAAATTAGACCATGTAAACTAAATAGTTGACCAAGGTCGAACCGGAGTAGGTAGATGACAAGGCAGGTGAAAAATCCAATACGTAATGCGAGTTTGTGGTCCAGTGGAAAAAGGTGATTCAGAATCCAGGAAGTACAATTGAAGCAAACAATCTGAAGCAAGAGGCGAGGTCGTGGTCAAAAGGAGTAAGGTAGGTAAAAATCCGGGAAGTACACTGGTGGCAAACAATCCGAGACGAGAGGCGAGATCCAAAGTCGAAAGGCGAGATCCAAAGTCGAAAGGCTAAAGAGAAGTTTAAAATCCAGAATAATACGAGGTATGGAAAATGCCAGGTTGAGCTCTTAACGAGTAGACTCAATACCGAGCAACGGGAAGCAGGTTAGGATGGTTAAAATAGTGCGGCTCGGCACTTGTTATTATTAACCCGCTGCTGGTACTGGTTGGTTCTTTTGTGAGATGATCTACACTGGCTGATGGTCGTGACAATTAGAAAAGAGACCGTTATTTAACTGAATTATAACATATTCTAAATTTTTTGCAAGAAAGGGTAAGTTGGATATAGAACTAAAATTATTTAGGTTGTCCAGAGCCATATTGTTTTGGCACAGGGATAACAGCAGCAATTTTGAAGGCCTTTGTTACCACACCCATGCTCCTTTGTCACTATCATTTGTCAGATCACTCATTTGTCATAATTACAGAATAAGGGGATCCACATCATTCACCACTTAAGTTCAGCATCCACCCGGCTAAAATGCAATCGGTGATTATCCCCACTACAAACCGGAACAGGTGAGAAATTACTTTAACTTTTAAATTCAGTGTTAAATTTAAGCAAGCCTGGAAACACTCCTACTCTTACTAACAGCCCATATGATCTTAAATGACACATGTATCAGAATACATTAAAACTGTACATTAAAATGTACAAAAAAAACTGTACATTTAAATACATTAAAACCAATGTTGTTTGAAAATCCACTAAGCTCAATATCTGCTGCAAATTTACATGGCTAGTTTTTCTCATGTAATACATATCTCACAATTAAAAAGTTATTTATGTATGACTCCCAGCTTACTGTTGGAGGTGTTGGGTTTAGTGACTTTATAATTACACAAATGTACTTGCTGCTTGAATACAGACCATTTTTCTGAGTAATATTAAGCTGTATTCTGGAATGCACTTTAAAGTCTACACACTGCTACTGACAACTATAGTATAAAAAACAAATATCAATTAATGTCTCTTCATAACAGGTAAAGGTTAATTTAATGCTAAAAGGAAAATAATAGAATTGCTTCATTTCAGCTGTGGAGCCTTCTTCACACCTGAAGAAGTACAGTATAACATGTCATTATAACATAAATTACAAACAGTTTAAAGTTTCTCTGAGCCATTAATAACAGGGCAGATTTTTTGGATATTACTACTAATTCTTACACTGGTTGGAAAAATACTAGTCTTTGATAATATCACAAAACCTACCATGATGTATGCTACCATTGTATTTATTTACTTTGATAAACAGAATATATTATTATACAACAGTAAAATATAGTGAAGACATGACAAAATCAGAAACAATAGAAATGAAAGCAAAGAAAATGTGTGTAAATTATAAGTAAAACCAGTGATGACAAAAGTTAAAACTGCCAATAAAAACAGCAGTGAGCAGTGGTTTCTGCCTGAATGTGAGTGGGAAGTGAAATAATCAAAAATATTGATTTAGGAGTGTGTTTCATAGAATACTTCTGGAGGGAATTAATAATTCAATTTAATTTTTTTAAAGCACCTTTCACATCAAGGTTGCCCCAGGCACAATAATGGGAAAAAGCTGAAGGTCAAGCATCTCTATGTGCTCCCCTCATCTGAAGTTGTTGACTATGCTTACCATAATGCGGATGTCATGGTTGGGTATTTCAAACCGGCGGCGAGGAGCAGGTAATGGGTAGAGGGGCTGTGTGTAGCTGCCTAGGAGCAGACGCAGCTCTTCAGACACATGGCTCAGTGTGATCCTTTGCTTGCCCTTGAGGTCCTGCCCCTTCTTCCCCTTTTCCTCCTTCAGCCTTTTGGCTATCTTGCGCAATATGAGGCTACCAGGAAGGAGGTTGTTGTAAAGCTCCAGCAGGATGTCCTCAGTAAGGAACTCCTTCAGGCTGACCCCGTTCTCCAAAAGAAGCTTAACAAAATCTGTCCTGTTCCCAATGAGAGCAGACAGCGTGGCCTGATGGAGATCACTAGACTGTGGGAAAGAAACAGAAGATGCACAGATTAGTAGTTTTGAAGTCTTAAAAGAATTGTGTTTCTTCTTTGTTCTTAAGCTCTCACTCCCGAAAAAGGCAGACTGTGTCATAACCACATTTTTGGCAGACAAGTCTATTAATGAAATAGTGATTTGTTGTAAAGTGCTATTCAGTTTGTCAGTACTGTATATGAACAAACAGGTTTGGAAATACACCATTTTCTCTTTAGGTTTTGTGAAGATCCCTTTTATTAAGAAAGGTTACAACCATAGGATTTTGTTTTTTACTATACTTTTTAATTCTGATGTAATTATCACAAACAACTCCTTCCGAACATCTTAATATGACAAAACAAGACTGTGTTTCAGTATTGCATCAGTTCAGTTCACCACTTTTTCTCAATGTGAATTCTCTCCCTTGTTGTCTTTCCTCGTATTTCTCTTTAAGAAGCCTCACCATCACCTTGGTTTGTATTGGAAAAGTCATTTAATATACACGAAATAAAAACAACAGACAACAGATAAACTGTGATACACATAAAAAGTAAAATTACAATTGGCAAAAATATGCTAATATCAAATTCGGTGTCTCTCCAAAATCCAGAGGAGTTGGAGTAATGTATACATTGTTTCTCTGTCAAAGCTGTTTTGTTCCTACACTAACGAACAGTGGTGCTATTTAAAAATACTTAAGTGATTGGTGAAAAGATATCAGTAAATGAAGGCTGACATTTATTTTTGAGGTGGATTCAAACATGGTGTAAGGTAGAATGAGCTGCAGCAAAACCAAAATAATTGCCGATCGTGTGCTTCATCAGGATCTCTTTAACACAGCATTAATGCCAAATTGAAATAACCAGAAAGCAATGTTTTTCTTTTCCAATCCTGGAGTAAGAAGAGAAGAGGAGAACTGACCTTCCACTGCCTATCCTCAGTGAAGATTTCACTCTCGGCGATGTCCACACGATTCCAGGCCACAGCCAACTCAAGCTGCCTTTCCCAGTTCCCGTGACCTAGAGAATCACTGGCTTTGGAAGCTGGGGTTTGGGAAGAAATGGAACAACATGGATCAAAACAGGTATCTACTGTACATGTTTGAATACAGGCAGCAGGTAAAAGTAAATAAGAAATTTCTATACAACCTGCCAATCATTAGTACAGTATATGATTAACAGAATCTCACTAGTTCTATTTTCCTGTTAATTCATTTTTATTCTGCAATAAAGCCAATAACATCATCTGAATGGAAGTAAAGAAAGCCTATCCATTTTATAACTGTGAGCAGTTTATATTGTGTTTCTGCATACATTTTTACTTGTGATATTGACCAACTATTGTGGAGAGAAAAGGGTCTAAATGCACATACTGTAAACACAAATTCAGAATAATAATATTTACTGAACATCTCTTTGTGATGTTCTATACATTAGGAATTGTCTTACTGAAAGTAAAATGTAATATGAAGAAGAGTAAAAAATATTGAATGTATTGACTTAAATTTTCACTAGTAAGTATATAATCACATTCGGATCTTACCTGACTCTTTTGAAGTCTAAAATGTCTATTACTATCTGCATTCACTCTGTGTTTTTCAAAAATACCCAAACAACAGCATCCGAACCGTAACTGTAACAAACTGAGCCTTACAATATGCAGCAGTGGTTTCTACTGTGAGGGCTGGAAGAGGCACAACTTTCTGAAAGTAAGAGTACCAATCGTTTATGAGTATGAAATCTCTGCATCACTAAGCAGATACATACTGACGATCTCCAAATCGCATTGAAATGTAATGAGACATCATGGTTTCTTTCAGTTGACGGTGCGATTATTCATTGCATGCTGAACTCTTGGTTATCTTCAGCAAGATGAGGCTACCAGACGGGAGATTGTTGTCAATGCCAATGAACTGCTGCGCTACCTTTGACGTCTGACAAAGTCTTTTTATTTCTGCTTGCATGTTTGGCCTCTCTGGTTTGTCTTTAGCTTCCCCACCAATGCAGCTTGATTCTTGGGAGCATCTCATGTCCAACATTTTCAGCACGAAGTTCAAGTAGGTAGCTGAATCAGCATGCATAGGCTGCAAAGGACACCTGAAGAAGGCTCCCCAGCTAAAACATTGTGTCTCTGTTCTTTTCTTTTCAGCATGGAATAAACCTTTATTTGTACCATTTTCAGTATTATGACCCAAGGTCCTTTGTACAGGATGCTATTTTGATTTAATCTCTGAATGACTAATAGTCTCCGATTAGGAGAGTCTTTTCCTCTGGCCACCCATACAAAACTGGAACAGATTTCAGCATCTGCTGGCACTCACCACTGAGTGAATGCTTTGCCAAATGATGTGGCCTGTGACTACTTTCAGTTACTCAGCCTGGCTGAGGGACGCAATATCAAATTGTTCCTGGTTCCATCTGTACACAATGTCAGCCATGTTACTTGTTCTGCTTAAAAAAATTGCTGCCAAATTGACTGTCTCGTTTTCCATGTCTGACATCGTTTTATTCATGGTGTGTAAAACTAAAACAAGCGATAGGCTCTGATGGGGAGGATGGTGGTCCACCATAACTCAAGCTTCATTAAAACACAAAGGCAACAGAAGGGTGCAGCCAAGGAGAATGAATGGAAACATTGCCCTTTCGGCAGACCCTCAAGCCAGCCAAGGCTTCGACTAGACTGATGCTCGCCCCATTACTGACACACACAGTCCCCTTAACGGCTGGTGAAACCCCGATACCTAGAATCAATACGCAAGTCCTTCCTCCCACTTTTTACAGTTTGCAGTTCTTAACACTGCACCTAGGGGGGACCCCTTCCTAGCGAACACTACAATATTCTTTCCTCTGACTTAAACAGCGTATACCTTTTTTAAGACAAAATTATTAGGTCAGCCCTCGGACCACCTGGCGCAAGCTCCCAGACCACTGGTGGTTTGCAGTCAACTCTTTGCAATTATTTTTCAAAATTTTCAGGTCTTCTGTTAAGTTCAGCTAATGTTTCTGAATGTGGAGGCATTCATTGTCCATCAGTCTCCTTAGAGTCATCTCTGCTGGTCTGTCTGTCAGCCCTGTCACTAGCATGAAATCTTCAAATTTGGCCTGAAGTTATCCACATTTACAGTTAGATTACCACTAATCCTTCTGAGGGTGGAATATTGCCTACATCTTATTCTTATGCTGATTCCACTGTGGTTTAAAATGACTGTACAGTGAGGATTATACTGCTTCTGACACCATGTTTTGGATTAAAATAATAGTGATGAATATGCTGTGCTTAAACCAATACCATGTTGAAGGCAACATCAACAGGGTCAAAGGTACTAACCAATAATCCCAACAACACAGGTATTCCATTGTTGTACCTCACCAGATGACTAGAATTTTACTAAATCCAATAGTATATTGAACTGATCAATATCAAACGTTTAATAAGTATATAGTATTTTAACTGATGTTATTAACTCTTGGTAGTCCCTCAGTGAACAATCAATCTGTATTATCACAAAAGATCAATTCACAAATATATTCTATTACATTTGTAGATTTATTATGCATGTTTTGGTGTAATATCAATAAATTGTGTATATTATATATGAGGAATCCATGTGTATGACTGTAAATTATTATGTTTGATTCCTAAAAGTCATCAAAGCACTCTCACAATTTACTGTTCCAATTTACAGTATAATGGATACAGTAAATTAAAAAAATAAATAAATTTGGGCAATGGCCAGAGGGATGCAATGGGCAGGAATGTCAGTGTCCAGGTAATTCCAGGTTCTTAGGTGCACAACAGTTGACAATATGATTTCTGTGGTTGTGATATTCAGATAAATTCTAGACATAATTGACAATGTCCTGTGCTACAACTAGTCACTACCACTGCACAAGATTAGTAAATCTGATTGAGATATCCCCAGAATTGGCATGGCCCTGCATCTCAAACTACCTGAAGGCTGCTGTTGCCAGATCAACACAGTAAGACCAGTGTACAGCACAAAAGCTTTGAAAACTACATGTCAGGCTTCTGGCAACATCGACAATGGCTGCTTAATAGTGGTGGTCAGTCAGTCTTTCTCAAAATATTTTTTTAGTAATAAGTCTGGATTAAAATGACTCATACCTCATGTTTGGCAAAAGCCACATCAGGACTCAATAAGACTCCTCTGCTTTCTTTTTTTCTAATTTTCTTAAAGATTCCTGTTTACTTTGTCAGTTCGAAATAAGCTATATATTATGTTATATATTTCAGTTTTCATACTTTCACTTTAGATAGTGTAATATTGTAGTATAAATTAGAATGATAGCGAAGAAAAGGTATAGGCCTTTATGGTACAGGGGCCTGTTCATTAGGAGTCATTTTTTCTCTATTTGTTTTCTAATTGCCTAAGACTTCAGCTTAGGGGGTTCTACTCTGAATTCCCCAGTTGAAGTGTTTAACTATAATTTACATTGTCGATGTTCACTTTTCACTGGTCTTCACTGATTGTTTATACCAAAGGTAGCTTCTTTCTTTTTCAAGACATTCTGTATTTTTTAATTTTGTCAGATTTTTGTCAGATATTCACATGTGAACAACTCAATAGCTGTTCTGTTTTTTGGACATATGCAAAATTATTTTCTTAGAGATTCATTTGTTATGACTTAAGAGGTCATAAAATTTCAAAATGATGGGCAGAAGATATGATAGCAGCCAGAGTGCTCCTGTATGCCCACCACACACCAGCTATCAGTCTAGAGGACAACAGAGTGATGAACCCAATTCATAGATGGGGATTATTAGGAGGCTATAATGGCAAAGGCCAATGGGAAATTTGGCTACGACGCCAGAGTAACACCCCTACTCTTTTCGAGAAACACCCTGGGATTTTTTTTTACCACATTTTCTTAGCCGTGAAGGCTTGTCTATGAATCATACAATAATTCCACAAAGTGTATGTAGCAACTTTCATAACTAGCCTACTGTGTTTGTCAATCATAGTCGTGTACCATCTGAGCAGATTCCCACACACTTGTTCCAGTTGATTTCATGCTCATGTACATTGTACGTATTAATGTTAGCTGTTCTGCAGCACGTTTCCCCCACATAATTGAAACTGTTTCCTTAGCACTCGGTAAGAAGGCTCCATGGCCGAAACGTTGTGTTCTCTTTCTTCTTTTTTTCAGCATGG